TCCCATTTTGTGGAAATGAAAATGGGTGGAATAGTGTTTTTTTTTTTAAAAAATTAGTGATTGAAAAAGAAGGAAAAATTTTCGATTACATATATATTATTTTATATAAGATTGTGTGGCCGAAAATATGAGAGAGAAAAATGAAATGTAATGAAATGAAAATTAATGAGGATCAAATGAGGGCTTAATGCTTATGAAGAGCAATCACTCTAAAGATTAGGCTGACCTTTGAAATATAGACTAACAATTTGACTTTTTAGGCACATGCTAAAGAGACATCATATCAACCAATTATTGGTAGATCTTAGATCTCTTTGGAAGATATAATAAGGAAAGATGCTTTTCTATCAGTTAAGAAACTAGACACTTCGAAAATATTCATACGACAAATGCGGTACCTTGACTCCGACTTTAGAGGGTTGTTTGCTAGGGTAATTTGGATACGGTGATCCATCGCCACGGATGGTCCTACCTTGAAGTTGGATGGTGATGTGGAGTGCGGGCCTGGTTATTTACTGATTAATTGTTATGTTGAGACATTTAGAGCTTGAACTGAAGAGACATACAAATAGTTCGTCAAGTCCATGTATGAATATCTATATAATATGTGGACTTCAGTGTACAATGGAGGTGAATTCGTTGTCGAGGTGATGTGTTGGCATCTGTTGACCTCATTATTTGTAGGGGGGACATGTTCAACAGATCTCGAGTCCTCCTGCGTTCATGTAAGCCTTTAAACTTACACACTTGGATAAACTGTCTCACACCTGGCCTTCTCTGAAATGGAGGAGAGGCAGTCACGTGCACTCCAATGGTCAAACCAGTCAATGTATAAATGAAGGGGTGTGAGGCGCATTAGAGACATGAGCAACTAAATATAAAGAGGTTGTATCCGACAGGGTATTAAAGGAATATAATGAGATCAAAATTATATCTTGAGAGTATAAACTTATAATACTTTTGAATTGCACAATGTGTGAACTTTTATAGTAATAGATGAGAAATTATAATCGTTGGATAAAGTGACAAGTGACCTCATCTTGATGGCTTATGTTTACTCCTAGACATTACTCCATTAATCCTAGGTTGATGAACAATTAATACTTCTGACCAGCAATCATTCTAAAGCCTAGATGACCTCTGACATATAGAATGATGATTTGACCATTTAGGCATATGCTGCAAAAATGTCATATCAATCAATCATAGGTGGATCTCATACAGAAGATTTCTTAGAAGGTGTGATTAGGGAAGATGCTTCAATCAATTAAGAAGCTACTCACTTTAGACATATTCATGCGATAGATGTGATACCTTGACTTCGACCTTAGATGGTTGGTTGCTAGGGCAATTCAGTGTAGCCTTACATCCAAGTTGGGATTAATGTGGAATGCAAGCCTAGTTGATTTGCAAATTGTCAGCCATAACAAGATGATCTGGAGTCTCAGTGGAAGAGACATAACAACAGTTCCCCAAGTCCATGTATGAATATTTATATAATATGTGGATTCAATGTATGGAGGTGAACTCATTGTCGAGGTGATGTATTGGCGTCTATTGACCTCATTTCTTGTAGGAGCGAAATGGCCAACAGATCTCAAGTCTTCTTAGGTTAACGTAAGCCTTTTGTCTTACACATTTGGACAAATCGTAACTTACACTTGGCTTTCCCTAAAATAGAGGAAAGGCGGTTGCATGCACTCCAACGGTCAAGCCAGTCAATGTATAGGTGAAGGGGTATGGGACGTATTAGAGACGTGACCCACTAAATATAAAAAGGTCGGATCCGGAAGTATATGAAAAAGGAATATAATGAGAGCAAAGTTGTAGCTTAAGCATTTAAACTTGCATTATCTTTAAATTGCATAATATGTGAACTTTTATAGTCGTAGAGGAGAAATGATAACCGTTGGATAAAGTGACATGTGAACTCATCTTGATGTCTGAGGTCTACTCCTAGGCATCGCTCCATCAATCTTAGGTGAACAGAAATTTAATACTTCAGACGAGCAGTCGCTCTAACACTTAGACTAATCTCTGACATATAGAATGGCAATTTGACCATTTAGGTGTATGTTGCAAAGATGTCATATCAATCAACCGCAGATGGATCTTGTGCAGAAGATCTCTTTGGAAGAGGTGATAAAGTTAGATGCTTTGATCAGTTAAGAAGCTAGTTATTTCGAACATATTCATGTAGTAGACGTGGCACCTCGACTCCGACCTTAGAGGGTCAACTGCCAAGGCATTACGAAAGAAGTGATCCATTACCTTGGTATGGCCCCCCTCAGAGTTGGGCGGTAATGTGGAGTGTTGGCTTGGTTGATTTGCTGATTGATTGCCACGTGAAGATGATCTAGAGTTTCAGTGGAAGAGGCATAAAATTGATTTAAATAAAGTGCATAACATTTAATTAACAAAAGCATCTACTCGAAAATTTATTCCAAAATGCCAACAAATATTTTGTATCATTGTTTAGATAAAAAAAACTAGTATGGCCCCACCTCGGAGTTGGGTGGTAATGTGGAGTGCAGGCCTAATTGATTTGCTGATTGATTGCCACGTGGAGATGACATGGAGTTTCAATGGAAGAGGCGTAACAATTAATTTAAATACGGTGCATAACATTTAATTAACAAAAGCGTCTACTCGGAAATTTATTCCAAAAGGCCATCAAATATTTTGTACCATTGTTTAGATAAAAAGACAACACAGAGTTGTAATATTCTCTTATTTTTGCTTATGAGTAAGATTCTTCCATAGATTAAATTTTTAAATGAGATTATTCAACATGATAAAAACAATAAAAACCTTGAATTTATGTTTGGATAACTAATCATTTTCGAAAATCAATGTACCCTAAAAGTATGTTGTGAAGTTGTTTTAGAATGAGTGGTGAATAGATGAGTAGTGGTTGTAAGTCTCATGAATAATGTGGAAAAAATTGAATTGACCGTCTATTAGCTATATTAATTAACGTACACTCTCTCTAACACCTTAATGAACGAGATAGTTTAACTATTTGACACGTCGTGTTAATCTTCTCCTTTGATCCTAATCCTTCTATCTTTTTCATTAAAATCGACGATTATCGATGTTGAATCATACCACATGTTATAAAAGCAGCCACATATTTTTTTTAACTAATAAAAAAAGATTTGTGGTCATTATGAACAACATGGTACCAGATAAAAGGTGGAATTAGTTTCATATTGTCATTACTTTGGACTAACCATTAATCAACAAGATCTCATTCTCATCCCATCTCTTTTTTTATAAAATCAAATCTACTTTAGATCACATGCATATAACATGTTTAAAGAAAATAAAATTTTAAATAATAATTAAATAATTAAATACGTTAAAAGGTTACATAATGTTGTGTATAAGTAGCGATTAATAATTTTTAATTTAGAGTAAATTATCTGTTTAATTATTCATAATGACAGCTCAATTTTCTCGACAAAATATTTTGATTTAACACTTGTTTTGCTTTATCAAATCATAAGAGATCAATTTCGATACGTCTAGATAAAGTAATAAGTACAACAAACAAAAGTGTGACGAACGAATCTATTCGAGCATCAAATTTAACTTATAGAAAATTTGATTTTAAAAAAAAAAAAGAAGGAAGTAAAGAAAAGCAGTTTAATACAATTACTAATACGAATGAAGATTACGATGACCTGTCCATATTTCATACTGAGGTCGTCAAAGATGCAACGTAGGGGTAAGCAGAGGAAGAGACATTGGCGGCAGCTACGTGAGAAGAGTGTGTTTCTGGTATGGTAATGGCAAGTATTTTGACATGAATCGAGTAATAGCAGGGCTGACTGAGTTGGCAGATTTAAATAAAAAGCGGGAGAGAATCATTTTTATCCCGTATAGAATGATCGATCCAATCTATACTCCACTCAATTTCAAAATCAATAATAATTTATTTATTTTTCATTAGATTTAATTACTTATATTTTGTATATATTGATTACAAGAATTAGTTAGGGGTTTCTCTTGTTTAAATAGGGAATTAGTGTTTCACTGCAATTTGGTGATTTTTGGAATGAAAATTGAAATCTTTGAAGTTTCTTCCAAATTCGTTCGAATACAATTTTGTTATTCGAGTGTAAATCAATTATTTATTTTCTATATTAAAAAAAACAATTTAATTGGTATATTCATTTACAATCAATGAAATCCTAATTTCAATTGATTCTTGATAAATCAACTAATAGTTTGCTTATCAAATATGCCATAAATTCACGAAAAGCAATAAATTTAAGTTGCCTAACTCTTTTTTTAAAAAAAATAAAATAATAATATTACATAACAAGCAAGGTCAGAATCTGTCACGAATTTATGGTCGTCCCAAAAGAAATTGAAGAATTTCTTGGGAATCCTTCAACATTTGTTCATTCTTTTCTATGGTAGATGATCAGAACTTTATTTGAGTTCAAATCCTGCTAAAAATTCCACTAGAGACAAGAAGTTGTTGAATAGCCGCCTTAAGAACCCACCACTTATCATAACCACAATAGCATGGCCTGGACCTCTAAGCCGGCCACTCCAATCCAGTCCAACCAGATTGATATAGAACTGCCTTACATGCTGAGATGGTCCCGGAGAAACAAGGCAACCCAAGCTTGGACCGGTGCAGTCCAACTGATTGACACGTCAAAAGCGAGTCCTGTACATTTTTGCCAAAGGCACGACCCAACTTATTTGACACCCCTAATTACATGTGCAGACACGTGCAATGTATCATCCATCCGTCGACCTTCATCTAGTGTGCCGCACTTTCCTTGCCGACGATGCCAATTCCAAGTGAAAGAGATACCAACATTGTTGTCTGGACGGCATATGCATCAACATCTTTCCAAGTTTTGTCCCACATAGAGATATAGTAAAAATACAAGACGGCAAATGATAGCATGGATTTACACGAAAACTAAACAAACTTTTAAGTGACTAATCATATAAATACTAACCAACAAAATCTTGTTTCAGAAATCTCCAATAAACTCATATGAACTTACTTTAACACAAAGAAACAGAAAGTATATAAATATTTTCTTCTTTTGACATTATAAATTGAGTTAGTTCTGTAAAATTCACTCTGTCCAAGTCATTTACAAGAACACTCATTTCCAATGGAAGAATTTGTAGGGAATGGATCTCTGAGAGAACTTCTCCCAAGGCTGTTAGAAGAAGGCTGGGACGATGTATCAGCTCTGAAGATCATCAATTCAGAAGACATGAATGAAATAGGCATGAGTCAGCAACATAAGGTTAGTCTTTTTTATATAGTAGTCTTATTAGGGTTATTTAATGAACAAAAAATCCATAGTTTTTCATCATCCGGTGTTGGAGAGTTAGAAAACTATATTCGCCTCGAAATGATCGAGTTCTAAATAGAAACATTTTGAAGTACGGTTCATAAGAATTTGCATCTAAGGAACTTAAAATGGAAAAGTATGTCATGTATTAATTGTTAATTAAATTGTGGTCTAATTATTGTGACTGTGTGGAGCCGATATATAGACCTCGTTATACTTCATACTTGTTATTTCAATTTTGCTCTAATTTGTCTTATAAATAGAGAGTCGTCATTAGAGTATTATATTATCATAAAAAAAGAAATAGGTAATAAAAGATATATGGCATGTAATTTTTTCTTGTAAATTTTTTTTTTAGTCATAGCGAATTACTGTAATAGCATAAGAAGATATTACACGTTGAGGACAATTTTTATAAATCTGTGTGCCTAATTTTCCTTCTACAAATAATTACTATCAGATGTATAAAATTAGAGTTCCTAATTCTCAACATTACTGTCACTGATATATATATGTGTGCGCGCGCACGAGAGAGAATTTCACTGGTTAATCTCTCTTTTCTACTGAAGGAGGCACTTGAAATTAGGTCGTACCTGCATGATCGTGCACTGCTTCAGTATGGGAATAAACTCGAAGCCACAGGAAAATGTCTGCCTGAGCTTCTTAGCTTGAGTCGTGCAGATCTTTCTTCTCAGCTTGAGATGAAAAGAGGACATATCGCCCGTTTCTTGGACAGAACCAGTGCATGTGCAACAGATCCTCCGCCAGTGTCACATTCCCCGTTAACAACAAGACGGAACAGCATGGCCTCCAAAAATAACAGCATCTACAGGAAGGATCTTTCATCCCTCAACTCTGGAAAACTAAAGAGCATGACGAGAACACCGGGAAGCAACAGTTCTTATAATCTTCCCCTCGAGCAATCCATGGCTAGTTTCAAGATCAAAGAGGGACACGTCTTTAAGGGAATTGTTGCAGCAATTCCAGCAGATCTTACACCATGTGGTTGTGTACAACCTCCCACAATAGTTAAGAGTGTAGCTCCTTATTCAACTATTGAGAATATCTCCGTCCAGAAACTGACTCCAGAATATAAGATAGGAATGGAGCGATTGGTCAAAACGAAGACACCTCCCATGAAATCTTTGGAGTTATGGAGAGAAAAACCAGCTATATTCCTCTGCATACGTAGACCGGGGTATGGTCATATGAATACACTTCTATTATTTCATGCTAGGAAAATGCTAAAATGTCTGATCGCTTCTTATAGTAGCAAACTGAATGTGTCTAAACAGACTAAACTGGCCACCAAAGTTAAGAGAAATTTGCATAAAATATAGCCTTTTTGATGAAATTATTGAACAAATGCATAAACTATGTTAGAAGATGCATTTCTTTCCAATACAAGAATTAGAAAGGCTAAGAGAATGACCAGATTCACCATATTTTCATAAACAGGTGCATCATGTGCAGAGCTGAAGCCCACCAACTATATTCCAAGAAATCCATATTTGATGCACTCGGGGTCCAATTATATGCAGTTCTTCACGAGCAAATAGAAGCGGAGGTACAATTTATTTTTTTTTCCTATTACGTGATCATCTGAGGCAAATGTTTATTGGATGTTCAAATATAAGAACTGATCTCCCGCCCAGAGTGATTGTCGCCACATCAGCAATCAAGCAATTTTTATTTTTTTTTAAAGAAAAAAAGTTTAACATGCTGATGTGGCAACGCCACATCAACATGTGGGCATTATAAATCCCTCCCACCGTGGTCAGGGATCATTTCTAGTTCAAGTATATGCTTTGATGATTCCAGGTAAAAGACTTCTGGCCTCGATACTGGGGTGGCGTTGTACTCTCTGACAGGGGCAAGGAGTTTTTCAAAGCTCTAGGTGGAGGAAATCTGCTTAAAGGTAAGTTCATATCTGGTTTCCTATTCAACCCACGAGCAATTGCAAATTACAAGCGAGCGAAGACTATTGCGGTGGACCAAAATTTTAGGGGTGCGGGTGAGATAAAAGGTGGACTTTTCATAGTTGGTAGAGGAAAGAGTGGCATTGCTTACCAGTTCATCGAAAGAAATTTTGGCGACTGGGCACCACTAGATGAAGTAATAGAAATCTGTACTCGACTCCAGGTAGTTATTTCTTGGCTTGTCTAATGCCGTGCTGTAACTTCTTTCCTGCACAGAATTCACTGAAATGAGCTCCATTTCATTCTTATGCAGAACAATGAACATCAGTCAATTGGAGTCAACAAAATCAGATAATGCAATCAGAAGAGAGTAATTTGGCTTCTATTTACATATTTTTTGACTTTCAAATTCAAGAGTATGCATATCATAAATCTGGGAATCCATTAGGAGTACAATCTTCTGCTAGTGGATGTGATTTTATTTTTTGTAGCAAAAGGATGTTCGATTTGTTTGTCTCATTGATTCAGACTGTTGAGAAAGAATTGAACTGAAAATTTTGCTGGTAAACCATTTATCTATGGCGTGCAACCACATCAAAATCCTAAATTGGTTTAATTATCAATAAAGATGGAAGAACAGAAGAGGCCAGTTAAATATCATCGATGAAATCACAAAAGTTAATGACAAAAATTTGGGGTATGAAATCCTTCTAATTATCGCAGCTCGGCTGAATTAGATCATTCGCGTGACTTAGGGGTAAAAGATTAGCACAATTATATGCTTTTCTAGCATCGATGGAATATACTGATGCCCCCTTTTTTCTCACGTCCAGCCAAACTGCTGTTGGAAAAAAATGAGTAAATGATTCACTTTTGGCAAGATTTTCGGCGGGACTGGTTGGTCTAATTTGGAAGATCAAAGTTGATCCTTATTCTCCTCCGTGAGAGCATCGAAACCATATATTTATTTGTCAAAATTGATGAATGGATGAGTGAGAAATTGGAGTTCAAAAATGACCATTAGAAGATGGTTTATGTGGAAAAATAACACTAGCCCCACATAGGAAAATGAAGAAAGTATTAACCACTTTAAATATGATTATACATTGAAAAGGTATAATCATGCGTAGTATAAAGGCTCTCTCCACGTGCGCGTTCAGGGGGGTGCAAATCACGGATCGAAATTGTCTTCGGACCTTAAACTTGTGTGCATACACAAATGTTGGATCGAACGGAGCAAAAATTGACCTGTTTGGAGTGTCTACGTTTTGCAAATTTTTGCTTCTTCAACTGACCTTTGAGTTTCCAAAACTCCAGCAGAAACTGAACTGGCTCCAGTGTTTATTGCCATGGAGTTATTGGACAGATTTATGTTCTATTAAATCTCGATTTTCCAGCACTTCTAACACACGAAAAAATCTCTCTGTCTTGCACCAGAAAATACTCGAGTTTTGTATAATTTACGGTCTGCATTCTATCTGCATCGTGATGGTGATATTGTTCGAATACAAACTCAATTCGCTAGAGTAGTTTTCGTGATGCTCAGATTCTGTGAGTTTTACCGTTGTATTCTAGGAAACAGACGCTTGGATTATATCTCAAGCACTTACGGTGAAGGGGTAAATCTATTTTAAGAAAAATGTGCTCACACAAACCTCGGATTGAAATTTTATTTACATATCTGAAATTTATTCTTGCAAGTTATTTATTTATTTAGCGATTTACACGTTTGCAATTTACTAGATTAATATATTGTGCAATTTACTTGTTTTTATATTTATGTTAGAAATAAAAATAAAAATAAAAATTATATATATGTGTGTGTGTGTGTGTGTGTGTGTGTGAATCTTCTTACTAAGAGTTGGTAAATGCAATTCGGTATATGTATGTTACATATATTGTTTTTCTATTCAAAAAAAAAAATCTATGTTATTTTAATAAAAATAGTTTGTGCTAATTTTACGCATATACGATGAACTTCGCTGTCAAATACAGTAAGCTGTATATACGGTAGGCTTCTTGTAGAGGTTAGTTGCATATACGATATGCTTAAAATCGGTATCTAAACTGCATATACGGTATGTGATAATCCGGTTTCATTAATACCACTATATTCCAAAACAGATTCTTTGAAAAAAAAATTGGTTTCTTATACTGTTAATTTTGGAAACTAATTTTTTTGTTTGATTTTCAGAAATGGCAACCGAATCGACCAACACGGTTGTGACCCAAACTGTGCCTACTGAAAATCAGATTAAGGGCTCAGCTGTGTTTCAAGTGCCAAACTCTGTTGTGGCTCAGACTGTGGCTAAATTGCCAAGTCATGTTGTGAGTCAAACTGTAGTTCCAACAACTGGCCATACCATTAATATTTTGGTTAATCATGGAGAAAAATCAAAGAAATTCAATGGCTTGAATTTCAAAAGGTCGCAGCAGAAAATATTATTTTATCTGACCACTTTAAATCTTACGAGATTCTTGACTGAGATTGTTCCAAAACTCAATGAGAGTAAGGGAGATGTTCAAGGAATCAGTGCACTTGATGCTTGGAATCTTTCGAATTTTTTGTGCAGAAATTATATTATGAACAACTTAGAAAACACGCTATACAATGTGTATAGTATTATAAAAACTGCTAAAGAGTTGTGGTAGTATTTGGACTGAAAATATAAAACTGAGGATGCCAGGGCTAAAAAGTTCATTGTCAACAGATTCTTAGATTATAAAATGGTGGACTCCAAAACAGCTATCAGTCAAGTGCAAGAACTACAAGTGATTCTTCACGAAATTCATGCCGAAGGGATGATATTGAGTGAAACTTTTCTAGTGGTTGCAATTATTGAAAAATTGCCCCCCGTATGGAAAGATTTCAAGAATTATTTGAAGTACAAGCGAAAGGAAATGAATATCAAAGAACTAATTGTTAGATTTCGAATTAAAGAAAACAACAAGAGTTCCGAAAAGAAGTGGTTCAATCCTGGTACCGCTAAAGCTAATGTTGTGGAGCATGGTAAAAGTAGTAAGAACTACAAAAACAAGTCTGAATCATCCGGTGGCAAAAGGACCAAGCAAGGACCGAAAGGTGAAATTTCTAAGAAGAAATTTCAAGGAAAATGTTTCAATTGTTACAAAGTGAGCCACAAGTCTTCAGAGTGCAGATTGCCAAAGAAGAAGAAAGAAACAAATGTGGTTGACTACATGGCACAAGATGTGTTGGAGCTGAATATCTCATCCGTAATTTTTGAAGTGAACATTTTGGGTTCAAACTCTAAGGAGTGGTGTATTGACACAGATGCTACGAGGCATGTATGCTCTAATAAAGAGCTGTTTGCTGTGTTCGAAGCAATTGAGAATGAGGAGAAGTAGTTTATGGAAAATTCAACAACTTCTAAAATCAAAGGTCAAGGAAAGGTGGTTCTGAAGATGACGTCAGGAAAAGAGCTGGCTCTTAACAATGTGCTATGTGTGCCAGAAATTCGCAAGAACCAAGTGTCCGGGTCGCTTTTGAATAAGCATGATTTTCGCATTGTATTTGAGTCAAACAAAGTTATTTTGTCAAAAAGTGAAATGTTTGTCGAAAAAGGATATGTTTCCAATGGTGTGTTTAAACTCAATGTAATGGTTGTTAAATTGAAAATTAATAAAGCAAACTCTTCTGCTTATTTGTTTGAATCTTTCAATTTGTGGCATGGTAGATTAGAACATGTTAATTATGATACTTTACGTAGACTAGTTAACTTGAAAAGCATACCCGTGTTTTATATTGATTCCAAACATAAGTGTGAAACTTGGGTTGAGACAAAATTAACAAGGTCATCGTTTAAATTAATTGAACGGAACACAGAACCACTTGATTTAATTCACAGTGACGTATGTGATTTAAAACTCGTACAAACAAGAGGTGCCAACAAGTATTTCATTATTTTTGTCGCGATAGCACCAAATACTGTTATGTATATTTGCTAAAAATTAAAGATAAAGCTATAGAGAAATTTGTTCTCTATAAGATTGAAGTTGAAACTCATCTTAATAAGAAAATTAAGGTTTTAAGAAGCAATCGAGGTGGTGAGTATGAAGCACCGTTTGCGAAATTCTGTGCACAACATGGAATCATACATGAAACCATCGCACCTTATTCATCGCAATAAAACGGTGTTGCTGAACGAAAAAATTGTACTTTAAAGGAAATGATAAATGCAATGCTAGTAAGTTCTGGGTTACATCAGAACATGTGGGGGAAGATGTGTTATCAGCAAATTATCTTTTAAATAAGGTACCCCGAAAGAAAATGGAAAAGACCCCTTATGAGTTATGAAAAGAAAGAAAGTCTTCCTATAAATACTTACGAGTGTGAGGATGTCTTGCCAAAGTGGTCGTTCCAACACCAAAGAAGGTAAGGATAGCGTCGAAAACGGTAGATTGTATCTTCATTGGCTATACACACAATAGTAGTGTTTATCGATTTCTTGTGTATGACTCTAAAACCCCAGACATATACAAAAATATAATATTGGAATCAAGAAATGTTTCATTCTTTGAACATGTATTTTCCTTACAAGTCCAAAGTGGAAGCAAGCTCCTCCAAACAAATATATGAGACTATGACTGAAAATAGTCATGATGAAGAACTAGAAGAGGAGATTGAGGTTAGACGTATCAAACAGAAAAGACAGAAAAATCGTATGATCCTGATTTTTTGACCTATATGCTAGAAAGTGAACCTCAAAGTTATCAAGAGGCTGTGAATTTCTCGGAGGGACCTCAATGGAAAGAGGCCATTAAAAGTGAGATAGATTCCATATTGCAAAATCACACATGGGAGTTAGTGGACCTTCCTCCATGAAGCAAACCACTAAGCTATAAATGGATTTTCACAAGGAAAATGAGAACAGATGGAACTATCGAAAAGTACAAGGCCAGACTAATAATAAAAGGTTACAAACAAATGGAAAGTCTTGATTACTTTGATACGTATTATCAAGTGACAATAATAACATCTATGAGGTTGATACTTGCGATTGCCGCTTTGTGAAATCTTGAAATACATCAAATAAATGTTAAAACAGTCTTTCTAAATGGAGATTTAGAAGAAGAAATTTATATGGAATAACCCGAGGGATTTTCGTCACAGGGTAGAAAAAGAAAGTTTGTAAATTAGTGAGGTCACTACATGGCTTAAAACAAACACCCAAACAATTGCATGAAAAATTTGATAGTGTCATGATAGAGAGTGGATTTAAAATCAATGAGTGTGAAAAATATGTTTACCTCAAAGATACTTAAAATGGTTATGTCATTTTATGTCTTTACATTGACGACATGCTTATTGTTGATAGTGGTAATAAGATAATTGAATCCACTAAAAATATGTTGAATTCGAGGTTTGACATGAAAGATATGGGTTTAGCTGATGTTATACTTGGAGTAAAAATCTCAAGAACATCAGATGGGTTGTTCTAAGTCAGTCATATTATATGGACAAAATTTTGAAAAATTCAATAAGAATGATACTGGCTTGGTTAGAACACCAATAGATACAAGTCAATATCTATCTAAAAACAAATGTGAAAATGTCTCTCAAGTAGAATACTCGAGAGTTATTGAAAGTCTAATGTACTTGATGAGTTGTACAAGGTCAGATATAGTTTACACAGTCAGTAAACTAAGTAGATACACGAGTAATCCAGGAGCTGATCACTGGAAAGGAATAGTAAGAGTACTAAGGTACTTAAAATATACTCGTGATTATGGACTACATTATACCAAATATCCAGCGGTCATTGAATGATACAGTGATGCTAATTGGATATCTAATATAAAAGATTCAAAGTCCACCAGTGGATTTGTGTTTACATTGGGGAGTGCTGCCATATCGTGAAAATCCTCTCAGTAAATAGTTGTAACCAAATCTACGATGGAATCTGAGTTTATAACTCTAGATAAATGTGGTAAAGAGACCGAATGGTTGCGCAACTTCTTAAAGGATATTTCAAGATAGTCAAAAGTTGTGCTAGCAATTTGCATATATTGTGATAGTCAATCAGCAATAGGAAGGGCACAGAGTAACATGTACAATAGTAGGTCTAGACATATACATCGTAGACACAATACCCTAAGACAACTACTCTCAACTGGAGTTATCACTATTAACTGCGTAAGGTCAAAAGATAACATTGTGGATCCGCTAACCAAAGGTTTAAATAGAGAGTTAGTTGGGAAATCATCGAAAAGAATGAGACTTAAGCCCTTGAATGAATAAGTCATTACAAAGGAAACACAATCTAGTTGACTGGAGATTCCAAGATCTAGGTTTAAAAGGACAACCTAATTGAAAAGGCTTAATAAAATCAGTGTGGGGGTGTTTCCTCTTGTCCATTCCTATGATGTAACAGTGATGCCCGTAAGGATGAAGGATAAGTAATAGGCTTTTAATGATTCTTATGTGTCGAAAATCGAGTCAACTAATATGGGTTACTTGTAATAAGAAATCACCTATGTGAGAGAGAAGTGGAGCCGCTTCTAAGAGAATTGTGTGTGACTCAATTCTTGAGAACTCTCACAGAACCAAGCATATGTACATGGCTAAAACGAACATAATAATGAGAACTGAATTGTGTTAGGAAGAATCCTGTGTGGAGTATATTATCGTTTACATAAATAACAGAACAGTTCAAGGACAATATGTCTACTGGTCAGCTAGTAAAGTAAATATGCTTTCACAAGGGAAGGTTCAAAGGGTGATACCTACCTATCCTATGCAGGCTTCAACCGTTGAACTTTATCACCTAGTCTTGTGTCTCACGGTCACCAAGTCTCGTTTCTTACGGTCTCATATCTCTCCCAATTTTCACTCATGTGGGGGATTGTTGGAAAAAATGAGTAAATCACTCATTTTTGGCAAGATTTTCGATGGGATGCGTTGGTCCAATTTGAAAGATCAAAGGTGATCTTTATTCTCCTTCGTGAGAACATCGAAACCATATATTTATTTGTCAAAATTGATGAATGGATGAATGAGAAATTGGAGCTCAAAGATGACCATTGGAAAATGATTAATGTGGGAAAATAACACTAGTCCCATATAGGAAAATGAAGAAGGTATTAACCACTTTAAATATGACTATAGATTGGAAAGGTGTAATCATGTGTAGTATTGAGGCTCTCTCCACGTGCGCGCGCAGGGGGTGCAAATCACGGACTGAAATTGCCTTCGAACCTTTAACTTGTGTGCGTATACGAATGTCAGACCGAACAGAGCAAAAATTGACCCGTTTAGAGTATCCATGTTTTACAATTTTTTGTTTTCTTCAACTGATCTTTGAGTTTCCAAAACTCCAGCAGAAACTGAAGTGGCTCCAATGTTTATTGTCATGGAGTTATTGGATAGATTTATGTTCTATTAAATCTCAATTTTCTAGCAATTCTAACACACGAAAAAATCTCTCTGTGTCGCACTAGAAAATATTCGAGTTCTGCATTATTTACGGTCTGCATTCTATCTGCATCGTGGTGGTGATATTGTTCGAATACAAACTCAGTTCGTCAGAGTAGTTTCTGTGGTGCTCAGATTCTACGAGTTTTACCTTTGTATTCTGAAAAATAGATGCTCGGATTAGACCTCAAGCACTTACGGTGAGGGAGCGAATATGTTTTAAGGAAATTGTGCTCACACAGACCTCGGATTAAAATTTTATTTACATATTAGAAATTTATTCTTGCAAATTATTTATTTATTTAGCGATTTACACGTTTACAATTTACTAGATTCATATATTTTGCAATTTACTTGTTTCTATATTTATGTTAGAAATAAAAATAAAAATGATACATATATATATATCTGAATCTTTTTGCTAACAGTTGGTAAATGCAATTCGGTATATGTATATTACATATACGGTTTTTCTATTGAAAAAAATAAAAATGTTATTTTAATAAAAATATTTTGTGCTAATTTTACGCATATACGGTGAGTTTCGCTGTCAAATATAGTGAGCTGCCATATATGGTGAGCTGCACTACCATATACGGTGAGCTGTCAAATACGGTATATTGCATATACAGTATGCTTACAATCGATATCTAAACTACATATACGGTATGTGATAATTCGATTTCAGTAATACCACTATATTCCAACAACTGCAAGCTGAAAGAACTTTGGTAAAAAAAAAAGTTCTTTCACTGTGTAATAATACTAGTAATTGAAAACTGGGCATGCCAGAAGTCAAGGTATCAATTAATAAGCTTCATCAAATAATTATGGCGTGAAAATGATATCACGCTTGATCTTAGGATTCAAATCATTGACAAATCTAGAAGTTGTCACATGAGAAGTATTGTGAATATCACAAATATTTAAGTCCCTAGAAGTCGGTCTGATATTCATTAATATTGGATGTACCTTGCCATTGTACAAAAAGAATTGATACTGCAATTGAGATCGAAAATTAACAAGATTATATTTGTTACTTAAATATTCGTTTCATCTCACCCCATAAAGAGAGTATTCTGACCTAGAAGATCAATGTTGCGCAAGAATGATTCCAATAACGGGAATAATGCTCGACAAATCTTACAAGTGACATACTAGCATGATATATCCAATGAGAGTAGGGTCCAAGGGATCGAATGTCCAACTAAGCACCACCCAGCTGAGCTCGTAGCAGTGTCCTATTTGTCCATTAAGGATGTGGGCCATTGTTATTATCTAAGGATCTGTCATTTAAAGCCAGTATAGGAATCCCTATTATCAAATGTGAATCAAAACGAGATTAAATTACCTCTTGTTCTTCAAGAGAGTTAAGCCTGTCAAAAGTTATAATAAATTTTAATTTAAAACCAAACCATAACCCAGTGCTACTTAAAAAGAACATCATTCTTTTGACTACTACACTTTAAACGAGTACGTAAATATTAAGCAACAAGGTATGAAAAATTACATGAGCTTCATCAGATAACACATTTTAGCTTTGTAAAAACCACCTTGCCAGATTCCAGTTCTTGTAAAGATTGACCCCACTCTCACGTTAATATAAGAAACAGAAAGCATACAAACATAGTACAATTTTCTTATTTAATATTGATCAGCACCGTACCAACACGCTCATATATGTGAAGGTAAATCTTCCTTAATTGCACTTCTCTGAACTATTATATTGAACCGATTCAGATGTTGCATACCAGTATGTATACTGTCAATTACATCGAGTATCATACTCAGAACAAATTCAGGGGCCTGTAAGCTGAAACTTCAAACTTACGGTGGTAAGCTGTAACATGTCTTAACCGGGACAAGCTCTTATAGGAGGACTACGAGATTTCCCATTATTATGTCGTGAATAAATTTATATGCTCAGGCATCCTCAGAATACACAGCTATCATGGTTCGGCTTTAATGTGGCGTGGAGGCAAAGAACCTGTAAATGTATCAAAAAATACTGCAATCAGCTTAAAATATTTCTACTACTTAAAGTTTAATGTGGGATAACCTAATATACCACTTAAATCTTGGCTACTAAGATGAGCGCTCGAGCTTATGCCCATCTGAACAACGTTATGAAGCTCATCCTCCCACATGCTCGGTGCCTGCACATGATTATAACGATAAACCATGAAGCAAAATCATTTTGGTAATTTGACTAGAAAAAGGTTGTTGAATCAAACACAATGTGTTCCCTCGTCAACTGATGTAAAATCGCTAGATGAAAAGTGCAAGTTCGAGCAGAAAAGAACCGGAGCTTACTTGAGATGTGGACTCTCTAAAGGCAGGAGTAAATGGGGAGTTGATAGATCTCCGAAGTGCATTTGAAGAGTTTGCCAAGCTCGAAAGATCAGGTTGAATCAGTCCAGGTGGTGTTTGATGCGGTGGAGGATAAGGTATGGTCACATCAGGTGGAAAACCCAATGAAGATGATGAACCAATCCGTGACTGAAAGATCTGTTATAAATGTATTGCTTATTGCATTAGATATAGTAATTTACACGTATTCAATCATGAATTGGTGCCTGGATTGGTGTTCTTTTTCTTACATCTTTGGTAAGGAGCCCTTCAATACTGAAGTTCAGCCATGGATTTACTGTTGCAAGCTTCATTGAGAGGAACTGAGAAGAAATATAAACGCACTAACATGAATGATAAGTAAACATTCTGAACATGGTAAATTATGAGTACCTAAAATATCTTCTCATACTCATTCACCCCCAACTCAACCCAAAATCGAGGAAAAAGGAAAAGCGATAGACTGAAGGAGTTGATCGTTAATTATTTTTCGTTCAAACATGCATACATAACGCGATGAATGGTAGTCCAACCGTTCAAGCTCACCTGGACTATTGATAATAATAGATGCCGTCTCACATCAAAGTCTATAAATAGTACCATGAATCAAACAACAATATGAACAGAGATGCATTATTAGTAGACATACCTCAACCTGTCGTTGCAGTGATTGTACATAATTGATGATTTCATCCAACATAACTGCTTTTCCCGTAATCTGAAAAACAAAATTTGTTCTTATGGAATGAACTAAAGCAAATGGTCTTATTAAAATATGCACAAGATTTAAGCTTTAAGTTACTTTCAACAAGGCTAACCTTGCTGCAACCAGGCACAAGATCCTGAAGAAATTTCATCCTTTCACTAATCCTCTCCCTCCTTAGCTACAATGTAGATAAATTACTTGATTCAAAACCAAAGATGAAAAATATAAAAAAATAAAAAAATTGTTCCCCTTTTTTGCAATTTATGATGAACTTCGACTAAAATTCTTACCCTTTCTGCAAGACTATGGCTATTTGTTGCCTGGCCTCTACGTGCTCGAACACGTATGTATTCTTCCTTGGGCAGATCTGGCCATTGCAATCCCTTCTTACCATGTTTTCCAGAAGGTTTACTTGTAGTTGGATTCAGATCATCCTTATTTTGAATTTCAGCATCATCCTTTGCTGTCTTGGCTGATGGTTTTAGGGCTCGATTGTTTACATTAAGTGCCGTACTCTGAGACACCAAAGATACATGAAAATTATAATGAAAGAGTGAAAATGTATAAGAGCACTATGAACAAAAAACTAAACAATGTTTAACCTGTTCGGTTCCCTTCCTCTTCTTAGATTCAACTCCTTTACCGGAAGACTCCCTGGGCGAACCCTCCAACTCTTCCTGATCACCTCTGCTGCTAAATTCAGCCTCATCGGAATCATTAGCCAATGTACAAACTCCTTGTTGAGCTTCTTCACGAGAGCAAGGCAAACATTCCCTCATTTTCTCATTCTTGAGTGGGCTTCCTTCAGTTCCATACACCAAAGGTAGCGATGCCTCCTTGGAACTTTCAGTCGTGTTCAATTTTGTTCCATCACCGGCAAACACCTCATGTTGCCCTTGAACTGATGCTAACATACCAGAATAAGAATTCAAATATTCAGGAACGCTAAATGGATTCATCATATCACCAAAATTCCCTCCGCTGAAACACGAAAATCTCGCTGCTCTTTCAATAAAACCTGAATCAGACGGTAACTGAGGCAAGCTCTGAGGAACCATCCCTTGAACGGTAGGCAAAAACATATCATCCCTTAACATTGTATCAGGAATCCATCCTGTACCAGCACTTGGACCGAAACTATCTGAAGTCCTAGCATTATTTTGAATATTCACATGACAATAGCCTCGATTCTGTTCACTTACAGGCTGATCCCAAATTAGAGGACAAAATGAATCCACCATTGGGGCAGAGGAACAAGCAGAAGACTCCATAATTGAATTGCCTCTCGGAATCATTCCCACTGATGTATTCGGAAGATAATTGTCATTTAAAGGCCAGTCTGAAGACATGTTAGTAGCACAGTAGTTTACAGGATTCTCATTCCCCTTTTCTGGCTCAATGGTAGCATCCTTACCAGCAATATCCATCTTTTCTTTCAGAGTAAAAAGCCACCCCCAAAAGAGTAGGAAACCCTATCGCAATCTTCTTCAAGAATCAATACGCACCTTAACAAAAAGCAAAATTTAGACAATCAAATACCCTAAGAAAAGACCTTAATTTGTTAGTCTCACCGATAAAAAACACTCCACATTTTTAAATCCCATCAAACTTTACCAATAAACATGAAGTCAAGTCCATACACTTCATTCTTCATATAACTATTTACTTCATCAGGGGAAACAAAAAACATGATCGGTAATAAGCTTCTACTGAGTTTTTTTTTTTTTTTTAAATAATAATTAAAAATTAAAAAATAATAAAAAGATGAGAAAATTAGTTTCACAGTAATAAGCTTCTACGTTAAGTTTGACATCCCCTGGCATAAAATTCATCATAGCCATTGATTTTTATATCACCCTTTCACATCACTGCCAGATTTTTTACACATAGGAAGGATGTCAACAAGAATTAATTGTTTTAAATTTTATGACTCATAAGCTGCAGGCAAAAAAAGTGCAGAGACATAAACATATATCAGAATGCAAAACCACCATTTCCTGAGGTTTATTTACTGAAATTAAAACAGCCCTTCAAAAATTAAAGCACCAGAACCATTAATGCCCAAGATAACACAAGCCCAGTTCAATAAAGGAGCTCAAGAAAGTGTTCAGAAGCAGTTATTTGGTACTGAAACATTGATTTCAGTATCATAAATACCATATCACTCATTGAATCATTCAGAACCCATATAGATGGAGAAAGAACACCCAGTAAGTACTCTGTAGAACAGAACTGAAAGTGGGAAAAAGAAAGACAGGTACCATTTCAGATTGCGTGCTACTTTTAGTACTCCTGTCTGTACACGGTTTTGAAATCGAATGGCCCTTTCTTTATTACTGAAAAAAACCCTTTCTTTCTTGAATTTTTTTTCCTTTATTGAACGTAATGTTTGTTCAAAGTTCAACTTCAAACCATTACTAATGCAAAGTGACAATAAGCATTCAAGAAAACTAGAGAGAGAAAGTGAAAGATGAGAGAGCAGAGTAAAATGAATTGGAGAGAGAAAATGGGTACTAGAAGGAAGTGAAAAGGAAATTTTGACAGGAAAGTTGATGCATTTATACTCACGCCTTGCATCAAAAATTGAGCTCTTGATGATTAACCAGTAACCACCGCCAATGCTTCACCTAGTTTAAAATTAAACAAAACAGACCTACTCACCTTTTTATTTGTTTGTTTTTTAGTTTTCCCCCTAGTAAAAATGATAAAACAAAACAAACAAACGCAAAATAAAAATTTTATTGTATCCTAATCTATCTTTGGGTGCTCAGCAAATAGTATTTCTTTCATCAAGCAATTATATTACGTATTGACATTAGATGTTAAGCATGGAAACATCTCATTTGAAAATTTTAATAATTAAAGATACGATATATTTATTGATTTAAATTTCTTTATCATGTTCTTAAAAAGGTTGAACCCTAACCTTGAGGGCCCACACCGTCCCGCCCCTAAAGCTTTGTGAGGGAGGTAAATCGCGGGATGTGCCCTAACAGGCCAGAAAACAAGAGCTGCTTGTATACTGTGCCTACAAGGAGTCCAATTCCACATCTCAGGAATCGAACCCCCACACTGCGACTGTCAGCAAGGCGTGAGATAACCTTACTCCTATCATTTGAACCACTGGACTATGTCCCGGGGGCTTCTTTATCATGTTCTTAAAAAAAAGGTTGAACCCCAATTTTAAGGGTCCTTCACGGCCCGTACCCTGGAGTATCGTGAGGGAGGTAAATCGCAGGTTATGCCTCCAAGATTAAAGGGTGGAAGGCTGCTTGTACACTTGCACTTACTCAAGAGCCAAATCCATATTTCAGGATTCGAACCCTTGACGCGGCAGTCTCAAGCAAAACTGAATTTCTCCACCCTCCCCTTTTACCACTTGGAGATGATTGGGTTCATCTAGTTGAAAGCTTGATGAGTGCACAATGTTTCAATAGTTAAAAGTAGAGAACATTGTATTATTGATTCCCAACTTATTACTGAAGTAGGAAGTCAGTCATCGACCTCTAAAAATAAACAATATGATACTAATCTTTCATTTTAATGCACTATTAGTCCATGATGCCCAATATCATCCAAATCCCTAAAAATTATATTTTACTTATCCTAATTTAGATTTTACCAATGAATTTGGACTAGTGATTGGAAATTTGAAGTGAGGCGGGTTTATGTTATGTTTATGTAAATGATTGTCCAACAAGAAAGAAAGTTTGAGGACTAACTTGTCTTTTTACTAGCTTGGTGACCAACTTACTAGTGCCACAATACTTAAAGACTAATGCTACAATTTAAAAAATATATATATATATATATATATTAGGCACTTATTTATACTCATTCCGTCCCATAAAGATTGCTATATTTCCTTTCTCACACAGATTAAGAAAATTTAGTTAATATAGTTAAAATAATAAATTTTACTCCCATTTTCTCGAATATATCCCTAAATTAATGCAATCAATATTCAAAGTAATTTTTAAAATAATATAATATTAATAAAAATAAGTTAATACGTATTTTGACACCTTAAAAATGCTTTATAATTATATCATTATCAATAATGTTAAATGAATTTTGCTATATGTATAATTTTGTTTACCATGTCATTTTTAGATGTTGAGTTTAACGTCGAATAAATCAAATTGGATGTAGAAAGTAAATGAATTGAAATAAAATTCACATTTAATTTATGAAGTTTAACGAAAAAATAATTTGAAAGTAATTCAAATTACATTTAATTTGTAACGATTTTAGAATTTTTGACGTCATCTTCCATATAAAATTTTCTAATAAAATGATGTAAATTATATTGAAAAATTTGTCGCACAAAAATAATAAACGTTAACGAAATATTGAATTTTTTTAAAAGAAAAAATGAGTTAAACGTCTTTTCTAATACGTACATTTGACACATGTTTAACTATTTTCAGTGTCCATTTGGACCATTCGATATGACGACGATGTAGTTCTCGAAACAAGCTTGTAGATGACGCATGCAATTTGTGGATTCGGATAATATACGATCATTGGCAAATCTCAAAAGATAGCATATTATCGAACTTTTCGAAATACTAATTTGGAACGGCTTACTTTGATACATCATAATTTTTGCTATGATTGATCATTTTGCACGCCATTAAGAAGCGAAAAACTTGGTCATAAATACTTCGAAATGATATTAAAAATGCAATGTTCCGACTTCATTTGACATGTATTAAAGTAGATCATAAAACGGTTAAAACAATTATTTTCTGGGGGAAAAAAAACCAAAATTTTGTGGGGTCATTTGACCCCACATGACTCCATGTAGGTCCACTCCTGTATATTAACTATACTTTCAAATAGGAAACGGAAATATAATTTAGGACAAACGAAGAAGGAAATCGGGATTATATTTCTGGGATGGAGGGAGTGTAAAGTTATTTCAAATCGTAGTATGGTAAGATTATGTTTTGGAAGTGTTTAAATAAATAGATATGATTGGTGGAAGAATGGCTCCTACTTATGGGTTCTATGAAATGTGAATAAAATGTGATTTGACCAAAAGTGTTTATAAACACTTCCAGGTATGCTATACATTAAAGTCATGGTATAATTTTTCCTTACAACTATGAAGCATTTTATTTTAAAATTATTTGTTTATAAAAAATAATAAATTCAATATGAATGCAAGTATTTTTCAACCTAAACACACTTCAAGTTCATACCCACTTCACAACTTGGTGTGTGTTCATAATACCATTTGAAGATTCTTTAAGAATATGAAAATTCCAGCTTTCATTACGAGATATATAATTTGCACTGGAAATTATGTTTGTGTCACAGCTTTAATCTTTAAACTTTACTTTTGTTTTCTTTGCTTTGAGTTATATTAAAAATAATCAGCAACTGACACTGCCAACTGTGATTAAATACTGTATTAATTAATTTTAATCTTTATACATTGGAATAAGAGCTTATAATCTGTTTAGTGTTTGTTTGGTCAAGATCCCTACTTACTTTTATAGCTTATTTTTTTGACTTTATGTCCACTTGGGTTGCTTCCAGAGGAGGTCTAGCTAATGGTCTGTGGTAGCTTTAAATAGTGAAATTTTATTTTTAATCACATATTTTAATGAACAAACAAGTACCGCTCATTTATTCATAATGTATTTTTATTTATTTATAAATTAAACGTTTAGAAATTCTCTAAACGGATGCTTAACTATTACATCATTTAACTTACACATTAGAAAGATTATTAAAGACAAATTTCATATATTCATCACTTTAGCCAATGTTTGACTCGTGTTTATAAATTGTTTATAATTTAAATAATTTGTAAACACTTTCCAAGCATGGAAATTCTTTTATGCTTTTTAAACGAGGTGATTTAACATATTATTCAATTTAAGTGATGCACTCAACATGTTTGGTATGTAATTTTTTAGCCCCTGTTTGTTTCTCATTTTTTTTCATTAAAATGAAAAATATGATCGTTATCTATTACATCAAATTACCAAATTTGAATTTCGATCGTTTGTGTGAGGTTCATAACGACAATATTTTTCATTCTCATTTTTACAAATATGGAAAACAAATGGGGTTTTAATCACTTCTGGTCAAATTTTTTTTAATCCATGTACTTTGTAGAATTTACAAGTACTATCAATTTATTTACTGCTCATTTATATTATAATTACTTACCAAACATGCACAAGCATCTGAAGATATTCTTTGTACCGTACATGCAACGAACATTGAGTTGAGCCTTTATGTCTAAGGCGTAGACCTCATGTGATCTCTCGACATACCCTTTTCCTTTACAAGTTCCACAAGCTTGTCTTGTCAATTAATAGGTCTAATGTCTCACAATCATTTTTTACGTGTAACCTTAATAAATGGAGTGCTTTAGCCCCTGCTTGACAATTACTATTTAAAAACCTTTTTTTTTTCTTACATACTCATTTCAATTACGCATTCACTTAATAAAATATTCTACATATAAATTTAAAATTTTTTTCTAATTTTTAACCGGTCATTCTTCAAAAATTACTATTTCATACATTATTTTTTTCGAAATAATAATTGTCAAATATGGGCTTAAAATATAGAATAATAGCATGACAGTCCGCCTACGTGGGAGAATTTGTCCATGGACGAGAAAGTAAGGAGAAAATCAAAGGTGTAGATCATGCCACTTGGAATAATGTAACCGATATTGTACACCAAAATTTACATGTTGCAACTTTGTAAAATGCAAACTTCAAAGAAGCACACTTCTTGACTTGGACTTAAGACATGTTTAACATAACTTTTACTTTTACTTCTTGTAGAAGAACTTTTGGAGAAAGCTATTTTAATTTTTGTTTGAAACTAATATTTAAAAGCATTTTTGATTCCGGAAGTGCTTTTAAAGGAAGCCACATTGAACCAACTTTCTCTAAAAACTCTTTTAACTACCAAAAACACTTTAACAAAATTACTCAAACGGGTCCAAAAACAACTTTTAAACCTCAAAAGTTCATTTTGACTTTTCAAAAGTCATGCCAAACGAGCTCTTATACAACTTTAGAAAATGTATTATAGATTACAAAATAGTTAAATTATCAACAGAGATTAAAAATAGAGCCCTGAGAGTTAGTCAAAAATTGCAGTTTGCCCTACTTCTCCATAGTTTCTCGTTTACATTTGTCAGAATATTATGCATAAAGCACTAGCTATGTGAATTGTGGATGACTCGTAAAATCATATTTTTAGTAAACTTTAATAAAATAAGAATGTTTGGATAAATTAGAATTTAATTCGCTACATGATCTCTTCTTCATATGAATACATACAGAATCTATATAGCAATTACTAGAAAACACATTTTGTGCTACGATCCTTCCTATTTGAAATGGACGGTTGAAATATTGATAAAAATTATGTCTCATAAAATGTACAATTAAAAATGAAATTAAAAATTTGTTTCGATTTTCAACCCAAGATTTTTTATTTTTTTTAGAGTATGACTTTGTTCTGATGGATTCAAATCTATTTGTGGAATACGTTTCAAAAAGAGAAATTAATCCAGAGATTAAGCCCTTGTTTAATTCCCACTATTTT